AAGGCTAGCTAGCCTACAGTCCGTTGCAATGGATCGTTTTGTGATCAAGAAAAAATCGTAGATGGTATGAGGATTACAAATGGCTGGAATATTCATATTAATAATGCATATGGAATATTTGCACTTGCTGTCACATATTGGATGTATTGTCTGATTACTGGCATGCAGATGGGCGCTTTCCGGTGCTGTCCGGTGCTGAATCTGTCACCTTTGCACGTGAAACATTTTTGCCATTGCCTTGTGGTCACTTGTATTAGGCTTAACTATTTTGTTGGACATTCTTTGGCCAAATTCAATTAAAACCACTTTTATATCGAACATGCATGTACTGTGTATCATAGCTGCTTTTATTGAAAAAAACAAGAACCTCCTAATAAAGTAACTGAAGTCATGAAAATCAATTATTTTCTTAGCACCCCCACGTATCAGTCAAAGCTCCCCCTTAGCCCCGGGAGAGAAAAAATCCTGGCACTGTGCCTGAGTGGTGGGAAGATGAGAAAAGTGCTATACAAGTACAAGTCCATTTATCAGGAGTGGACAAATATTTACCAAAACTGGACCAAATGATGTGAACACATGGATGTGATAAAAACACTGGAATTGTTAAAACTCACACGGAATGTGAAAGCTGGAGGATCCCATAATTATCAGTAGGTTTAGTGAACAGAACAAAAGGGAAATAAACACAAATGAACAAACCACTTGCACAGTGAGTGCAACCTGTGCTGCAGAGGCAGCTGACAACAACAGAATATTCCACAAAGAGCGTGTGACACTTCAGGAGGACACAGTAAGCGCCAAAGAAAAAGGCTTTTCACTTCATTAAAATTGTACAATAAAATAAATACATTTTGCATGTCATTTTAATTTTATTTGAGTAAAACATTCTAGTACATGCTTCTATCCATCCCTGATTCTAAACATTGAAACTGCTCACAAGGGCAAGAAGGAGTCTCTGAAAAGCAGGGGAGGAGGACTGTTTTCTATGTGAACAACAAATGGTGCAGAGCTGGTGACATGATGGACAAACACTGCTGTTTGGATTAAATTCACATACAACACCAAAAACCTGAAGTCTCTTGGAGTCACCTTGTCATAACACCTCACTGCTGGCAATGGTTCAGGTTAATTTAAAACAAAACAAACAGACTGAGAAACAGCTTTTACTCCAGGGCTGTGATCTCCATTAATCATACCCCTCTCAACACATACTAAGGAGTATAGCAAACTCAGCAAACACACAAACAGGACTTATAATTGGAGCTGTCAAACATCTATTTGAAATTGAGATTAATCACTGGATTTCTTTCTTTCTTAGCTCTTCTGAGGTCTATCCACAGACTTTCAGTGATGTTTAGGTCTGTGCCTCTTGAGGTAGTCCATTGTGGATTTCAAGGTGTGTTTAGAATCATTGTCCTGTTGTAGAAGCCATCCTCTCTTCATCTTCAGCTTTTATGGTGTGAGGTTAGCTTCCAGAATTTGCTGGACTGTAACTGAATCCATGCTTCCCTCTACCTGTGAAATGTTCCCTGTGTGATTGGCTGCAGCACAAACTCAACACATGATCGATCCACGCCTGTGTTTAACAGTTGGACAGGTGTTCTTTTTCTGAAATTGTGCAGCCTTTTCACTCCAAACATACCTTTGCTCATTGCATCCAAAACTTGTTTCCAAACAGTATTAGGCTTGTTTAGATGTTCCTTTGCAAACTTCTGAATGTTGAATTTGTGGTGAGGATACAGGAAAGGTTTTCTTCTGATGATCCATGAAGGTCATATTTGTACAGGTGTCTCTGCACAGTAGAAGAGTGCGCCACCACTCCAGAGTCTGCTAAATCTTTTTGCAGGTCTTTTTTGCAGTCAAATAAGGGTTTTGATTTGCCTTTCTGGCAATCCTATAAGCAGCTCTCTTAGAAAGTTTTCTTGGTCTGCCAGACCTCAACTTGACCTCCACAGTTCCTGTTAACTGCCATTTCTTAATTACATTATGAACTGAGGAAACAGCTACCTGAAAACTCTTTGCTATCTTCTTATAGCCTTCTCCTGCTTTGTGGGCATCAGTTATTTTAGTTTTCAGAGTGATAAGCAGCTGTTTAGAGGAGCCCGTGGCTGTTGATTGTTGGTACACGGTTTAAGGAGAGCTTTGAAAACAATTTAGTCTAGTTTGATTAAGAAGGGACAGTGCAAATTAATAAATACAAATTGTATAAAAATGCTTAAATTAGCTAAAATGCAAAAGGATATTTCATCTGTAGTCCCTTGGCCAAGAGGTTGCACAAGGCTACCTAAAATACAACAAAGCACATAAAAAATAAATAAATGAAATTAATAGTTTTATATT